GGATTTCTACCTGCAGCATCAGGCTTTCCTTGTCATGTGAACAATTGTCATTGTCACCAGCTCATTCTCCATAGTTCTAACAAGTGATTTCTCTAACACAAATACATCATGGGATGACTGTATAATTTCTCTAACACAAATACATCATGGGATGACTGTATAATGATTTCTCTAACACAAATACCACATGTGATGAGGTATAAAACATGGGGCAGTGTCCCCTGATCATTGAGAATAAGATTTAAGCCTCCTGGTCTACCACGACCGGGACTCAGCTCTTCTTTCCATTTCACCTGAGCCTGCTTCAGCTGAGCCCAGGCCTATGCTTTCCCAGACTCAGGATGCTGCTTGATGTTCTACACCAGCTCTCTCTCCTGCTGTGGGGGTCCATCTTTGACTACTTGCCTCATTGATCCTGTTCATTTATCTTTCTCCTCATGCTGACAAGAAAAGTGCTTTATATGAAAACAACATCGAGACAGTCACTGACCTGCTTTAAATGTTAAATACTCTTAAAACTGGCTTGCTTACTTACTATAATTAAATATGAAGAGATTTGCATGTCTTCATATTTAAATTAACTTAAGAGAAATTTATTGAATGTGTACCTTGTCCAAGTCATTGTGGTTGTTATTATCTGAATTCTCCTAAATTTGACCAGAATCCTGTGAGCACTGAACTTACATGGGTGCTTGTTTAAAAAAAAAACTGAAATGAAACCTAGCTAGTCCTTTTTTCTTGCAATAGGAAAGAACGACAACTAAGAACTCATAAGTTCAGAAAATCACTTTGAGGTTATAGAAGAGTTACCTTTATAGATGTGTGTAGAACTCATTTTGACGTAGAAAATTTCATCCCATCAATTATACGCAATAGGTTATGATTTATAATTTATGCAAAATGTGGTAGTATCTGTAAGTGGTATAGGTGAATAGTAACCCCTCAGTATCTTAGCAATGTTTACATTTTCTCATTTTCTTCTTTAGTATAGTTGGTTGAAGAATTTTCTAGTAGCATATGTAAAGAATGGCTGGTTGGCTCATTAAGCAGGTTGATATAAAATCTATAGAAAATCTTGATAAACCAGAATAATGTGGTGTTGAAAGGCATCTATGATTCCTTTACGAGGTCTAAAGTAAACCGTCTAAACCTCACTTAATGTAGTATTAATGTTTCTATGGTAACTAGTGTATTTGGGGGGAGTATTGCTCATGAAATTAGTCAGAAGGAATTTTTTAAATTACGTGGCTAAGAATATTTTCTTTTGATCATTTTGCATTTGTTTAGCAAAACATATGAATAAAAATACCTTTAAAATACCCTACAAAACTCCTTGGATTATAATGTTATGCATGGATAGTCATTCAACAGACAGATATTAGGCAGCTGGTGTGAGCACTGCGTGTAGAGACTGGGATTGTGGTGTTTTCATTCCCTCGGTCATGGATCTTGTATTTAGTGCAGATAGTGGGTGTGACAGACAGTAAACTAGGAAACACAGCACATGCGCACACATTTAGGGAGTGAGGTCAGTAGACTTGAAGTCCTGTTGGGACGGCATTAGATTGAGTGGACAGGTAGAGCTCTCTGTAGTCATGATGTTTCACTTGTGACTTAAAGGAGGAGAAGGAGTCAGTCCTAAAAAGGTCCACCCCAGGAACATCCCTGCCAAGGGCAGAACAGAAACACAAAAACCTGCCTGAGTTCAGACAAAGCCTGACATGTTCAAAGAATAGAGGAGATTGTGAGCATGGAATAGAAGCTGGGGTAGCAGATAGACAGGATTGGTCTCGGAGGTGAGTGGGTAGGTGCAAAACCTGCAGACCGAGAAAGGAGTCAGATTTCCCTCTAAGTGCAGTAGACATTGCCATAGAACTTTATGCATGGTTTATGTTTCCTTTTCTTTCTTCTTTTGGCAGAACTGGGGTTTGAACTAATGGTTTTTCACTTATTAGACAGGCTTTCTGCCACATCAAGTGCTTATGTTTTCTTAAGAGTGCCTTGGTTTCTCTGTGGAGAAGAGAGGGGGAAAAAGGAAGGGAGGGAGGAAGAGAAGGGAGAGAGAGATAAAGGAAAGGAAGAAAGGCATTAGTAGGCCATTCTAATGGGCCAGGTGAGAGATGCTGGCAGTGTGCAGTGGGGTTGTGAGTAGGATACTGCAGATAGAGTTGAGGGAACGGATGCAGGAAGCATTTGCATGTAAACAAGATTGATGGTGGAATTGGGGATGGAAGAGAGTGGGAAATAATTTCTCTTAGCACAGCATAAAAATGAAATAGCATGGGATTTGTTATTTAGAGCATCCAAATTCCATTTGTACTCTTTATCTTGGGTTAAGTCACTGCACATGTTCATTATGGTAGTGAAACTTCAGCCTTTTCAAAGCACATGCAGTTCATACACACTGAAAGCATGCTGCCTCTGACAGTTGCTACAGTGAATGAATGAAAAGAAATTAACTAAGAAGATAGCAATGAAACTGAACAAATCATTTCAGCTAAAAGCACAAAAGACAAGCGTGACCTAAAATAGTTGATTTTGTGAAGTGTCATTTTCTTTTTCATCGAGAAATTTCCTCTCATAGCCTATACAAAAATCAGGAAATCCTTTGACTTGAGTTTTAGGACCGTATTTAGTATTTTGTGTCTTAGTTTTCTGTGAAGTTCTTAGTTATGACAGATGGAGTCTTTGGCTGGGTTCAGGGCTCTTATGGGAAGAGAGGATTGAACAGGTATACCCCCCCCAGCCCCCATCTCTGCTGCAGCCCACCAACTGGCACTAGGTCATTTGTTATACACCTGGCTTTCAAGCAAGATTTTGTATGAATGAGGAATGCACTAGTTCTTTTTTTAAAAGTGTAAATATAAGTTAGCCGGGCAGTAGTTACCTTTTCTAGTCAGATAGCCCCAGCCCAGATAATTTTACCATTCTTGAATCTTCAATAAGAATTGAGCTTCTCTAGTTAATGAACAAAATTCACTTTCCACACTCATTCTCCCAAATTTCATGTGTTTAAGTTCTACCTGCTGCTACCCCACCAAATATTGTGTGTAATTTTTTTTTCAGAGGGCTCCTCTTACTTCTGTCTCCAGAGGCTCCAGAAGTTTATGGGTTCTAGGCTAGATGAATTCCTGAGGTCTACTGATTTTTTGTTAATCTCCTTGGTCCTTCTCCTTTCCTGGGTTTGATACTTCCTGCTCCCTCTGGCCATGAGGACAATGGCTGACTCCTATCTCCATCTTGCAGAGCAGAGCTACAAGAGGACTGGTGGAGCCCTTTTAGGTGTAGAGAGAGGGGAGCCCTCTGCTGAGCTGGGCTAGGAATGGAGACCAGACCTTACTTAGCCTTGACCACTGGAGTCCTGTCACTGTTGGATGCATCTTCTAGCCCTATCCCCACGTATGGTGATTTCTAGTCCTGTTGCCTGGTTTCATCTACACAGCATTTCTCTTCTAGTCCTTCAAAGCAGGGGTTCAAGTTCTTTGCCAAAGAACTTTGTAGTCTGCAAAGTTTAGAATTGTGGCTGGGCTCAGTTTTAAGTACTCTGACAGGGATGAAGCTGGTCCACCCATGAACATGCAGACATCTTCGGAAGAAAGTGTTGATCAGTGCCATGTCTCAGCTCCAGCCAGCCATAGTAGCTTATCACATGAGCAATCATGCTTAAGGAGCAAAAGCGAAGAGACTAGACAAGTACATGCAAGAAATAGGATTAAGAGCTCCCAGTTATTCTGCCAGTAGTGTCACGTCTTTTGAAGTACAGTCTTACAGAATCACAGGAGTACAAAACAGGGGGGGACTTGAGTATTAGGAACAGACTTTCCCTGCTCTCAGTGGCTCTCTCTTCAGTGGGGTCAGCCGCCACAGAAATCTCCAGGGAATTCTAGAGATTCTTCCAGTACAACTAGGATTTCAGAAGTAGAGAAATATTTTCATTATACCTTGGCACCTTTTCAGGCGTCAACATCTATTACCCCTTAAGTGCCAGGTGTTCAGTTTCCTCTGCTTCCATTTTCCCTTCTAACAGGCAAGCATGTGAAAGAGATCCCAGTCTCCTAGGTGTACTGTAGTCTGTCTGTCCTCTCTGACTCTTTGCAGGCCATTGCACATGTAGCCACCATGTTACCAGCCTAAACCTCTCTTATCTGTCATTGTCAGTCTTGAAATTCCCTCCATGGCTCACTGTTCTCCATGGGATGAAGGCCTTGGACATCTAACACTTCCCCCATGGCTGTCCATACATAGCAGTGCCCCTGTACTACCTATTTGAAGGTCCTCTGACTCCTGATACCAAGCTTACCTCCTAGCCACCAGGTACCTCCTAGTCCTTAGCACCAGATTCGGATTGCAAAGCCTGGGAAAACCCTACAGCTTCCAGCCTTTGTAGACCCCAGTTAGGATATATGACCCTGTTTGCTCTGTTCTGAGCTTGCCTAGTCTTCTTTGCACCTGTCACATGACACAATGACCTTGTTTGTCTGACTCCTCTACTCCAATAAAAATGCTCTGGGGACTGAGATATTTGCTGGAGGGAGCTGACTCACTTTCTGTCTATAGCTCACTCCCCCCCACCACCCATAGGTGCCCAACACATAAAGGCACTCAACATTTCAAAGAATGACTCATCCTTACTACAAATGCTTTTGTTGACTTGTGAATGGCAGTTGTTAAATAAATCAGCTCCCCGTTAATAAAATCAGAATTATCGTTCAAAGCTTCATGGTTGCAAGGCTTGTACTCTTCCTATTCAAATGAGGCCTCAGGTTTTAAAGGAAAGTTGTATTTGTTGAGGCCACAAAAGCATTCCTCTGTGTGTCGGCCTCTTTCTGCCTGTGTGGTACTGGCCATGGCCAGAACCAATTTCAGTGTTCAGAGTTGATTGAATCCATAATCCAGAGGATAGGGGAGAGTTGGGAGAGGTGTGGATGTGTGAAGGTGTGTGGGTGACAAATGACCAGGTGTCCTAATGAACCGCTCACTTGAAAATTGTCTTTCTGCAGGTGATGTATCACCAATCAGTATGTCTCCCATCAGTCAGTCTCAGTTTATTCCACTCGGGGAAATCCTTTGCTTGGCCATCTCAGCAATGAACTCAGCGAGAAAACCTGTCACCCAAGAAGCACTGATGGAACACCTGACCACGTGTTTCCCAGGTAATGAGAAAAGAAAGGAGCACTTTTCAAATGGATGTGCACTCTGGTGGCTCTAGGACTTCAAATGGACTGTTCTTCCCAAGTTTAAACATAACAGAAAAAGTCTTCACTCAAAGAGGCCAGAAACTTGTCTTTCTTCTGTAAGTAAAAAAAAAAAAAATCAAAGCACCCATGTTACATTAAAAAAAAATTCTATTGCTCCAGGTTTAATATTCTTTTATTTGGTACTGAGCAAAAGAATCTATAGAAACTCTAGCAAAAATGACCAGAATTCCATTCAGCCTTTGCAATCTAATCTTCCCTAAATACATGAACACAGAAGTAGTGTTCATGGAAATGTTTTGTCATAAGAGTTTAATGGCAGCAAGAGTCATGTCAAAATTAAGCTTATCTTCCATGTTTGTGTTCTGGCGTGGTGAGCTTTAAGAAAACATTATTTGTTCTAGGTTTGATGGCTCAAATCTGTAATCCTAGGCACCATGAAAGTCTGAGATCAGGAGGATTATAATTTGAGACCAGCTGGGGCAAGAAATTCTGGTGACTCTTTCTCATTCAATAAAAGGCTGGGCATAGTGGTTGCATGGCTATCCCAGTTACTCAGGAAGCATAAATGAGACGACTGTGCCTTCAGACCAGCCTGGACAAAAAGTAACATTTATTTAAAAAAAATAACTAAAGCAGGAGGGGCTTGAGGACATGGCTGAAGTAGTAGAGCATTTGCCAAACAAGTTGGAGGCTTTGAGTTCAAACCACAATGTTTCCCCCTCCCCCCAAGAAATAGGGAAAAAAAGGGAATGTTGTTTGATAAGTTAAGATTTCATTTGAAAATAAAAGGTAAATGCATTACTTTTATCTTAAGTACTGTAAAACAAAGACAATAGCCCAGCTACTCTATGAATGACATTTGACAAGTCCAGTGCTAGAAGATGTCAGGAGTGTTGATAAACTAAACAATGCAAACCCCATCTCAAGAGAAGGATCCCAACCCTCAGTTCCAATGTCTTGTCACACCCTCTTCCTACCAAAATGTCATTTCCTTTTAGAGTTGCAGGAAAAAAAAGTTCAGGAGAATGTAGAAATTCAGTTTTATGTGCAATCTCTAAATTTCCTTAAATACTGACAATTGTGTGTGCGTGTGCGTGTACACATGCACACGCATGCACATTTTATCCTGTATATACCAGCAACCCCTGCAGGTCAGCTAATCAAATATGATACAATATGAGGCTATCAGCTTGGTAAGGACTGAACATCTTTCTAGATTGAATTAATATATAAAAACATGTAAAAATGAATGCTTGATGTACTTAGCAGTGATCTTAATTAGTAGAAGCTGTTAGCTATATCAGCTTTTGCTACAAAAAAATGCTGGGTAAGAAACAACCACAGACCAGGAGGGGCATCAACAGCAAGCATTTATTTAGGTCCTGTGTTGAGTTCCCTAGAAGTCAGCTGATATAATCAGGGCCTAGCAGAACACCTGTATCCCATCCTCTTTGGATAAGGGGGCAGGTGGAGACCTCTGCTCCAGGGGATGGCAGAAGTTTGGGAATAAGGCTCATTGCACAAGAGCTTTGCAACATCTCAGTCAGATCCCCTCTCTAACCATTGCATTGGGCAAAGCAAACATGTCCAAACCCAAGGTCAGGTGTAGGGAGGCATACCCCATGTACAGAGAAAGGACGGAAGAACCAACTTGAAGCTAAGTCATAATTTAATTCACCTTCTTGCATCTCCAGCCTTTCTTTTTGTCCCAAAGAAACTTTATTTTTCTCTTTCAGTGATTTTGTCTTCTTTTTCTTTTTTTTAGTCAATATGTTCCACCCTGAACCCACCTTTGAAACTTACAAATTATCTTAAGTTTTATAACATTTTTATCTCTGCATATTCTTCACTATTTATCAGATAAGCAGAACCCTGGGAAAGCTGGGTAAGGGGGTGGGGGGCACAGACACTCTTGGCAGACACTGTAATCTGGTGAAACACAACCCTTCCTGCCTTACAGCTGAGTAGCTGCTGCTGACATCAAACAATCCAGTAGCTTTTAAAAGCCTTATATTTTTATATAGCCTCATGAGAGATTGCACAGCTTTTTCAGAATTGGTTACATGCCTCCCATTGCTGGTGTAGAAAATAAAAAAAAAAAGTAAAGAACACAAAGCTGTGTGTAAGAAGGAGCAGTTTATGTCCTTGCCAAGAAGCCAGTAACGGTATCACTAGATTGGAATAATTTTAGAGAAACAAATCATTGCTACTTAAAAGAATAACTGTTTAACTTACTTTCAGGGTAAATGAACTTTAATCCCAAGGCCTTGATCTTCAGAGGGACTGAGAGGAGCTAACTAAACCTTGTTCATCTGTATGACATGGTGATTTATTGGCCAGCCCCATAAGTTTGCAAACTCTGCCCAAACTGGAGTGGAGACAGTGCTTTGTAACTGTGGCCTACAGGCGTGATATGGCCTACCACCTGTGGTTGTCAAAAAGTCTTATGAGAACATAACCAGGCCTGTTGGTATATGTGTTATTTTCAGCTCCTTAAGCTGTAGTTGTCAAATGGTAGAGTTCCAGTTGAAATCATATGACTCACAGAGACTAAAATATTTACTGTTTGACCCTTCACAGAAAAAGTTTGCCACCCCCACGACTAGGGCATGGTGGTAACTATTTAAAAGGTAAGAGATTTTACTTCTTGTATATCTTACTAAAATTAAGTGTTATAAAAGTTTTTAGATACTCATACTTAATGCCCATTCTTCTCAATAAAAAGAATCATTGATTGAGGAGGTAAAAATCACTTTGTACAACTATTTGAAGAAAATTTTTAAAATTAAATAAAAAGAATAGGCTGGGCACTGTTAGCTCTCATCTATAAACCTAAACTACTGAAGAGGCTGAGATATGAGGATCACAGTTCAAAGCCAGCCCAAGCAGGACAATCTGTAAGACTCATATATCCATTAAGCACCAAAGCACACATAAAAAAGGAAAAAGTACCCTTGCTAAAAAAAAAAAAAAAAAAAGTGCTGGAAGTAGAACTGTGGCAGAAGTGGCAGAGTGCTAGCCTTGAGCAAAAAAGGGAGGGTTCTCAGAATCTAAGTTCAAGCCCCAGGACCAGCATCAAAATAAGTAAATAAAAATAAGTAACTAAAAAAATTTATGTATAATTTTAATTTATATATAATTTTATATTGTATATATAATTTTACATTTGTATATACATTTATTATATATTATATATTTATTGTATATAATAATCTGGGCATTGATGGTTCCTATCTGTAATCCTAAACTACTCAGGGGGCTGAGAGCTGAGGATTGTAGTTGGAGCTAGGCCAAGCAGGAAAGTCTTTGAGACTCTTATCTTCAATTAACTACCAAAAAGCTTGATGTGGCACTATGACTATAGTGGTAGATTGCTAGTCTTGAGTGCAAGAGCTCAGGGACAGTATCCAGGCCCTGAGTTCAAGTACCAGGATTAGCACAGCATAATTAATTAATTAACTAGAATTTGACTTCTGTTTCTATTTTTGGACATCCATATTTAAAGAGTTTTTTAAAGATAGTTTTTGGAAAAATCACTGAAACAATCACTGTCTATATAGGTTGAATTTTTGAAAGTGAATCCAATCATTGTGTTTATCAGCTTCATCATAGAATCAAGAATTGTTTTAAAGTTTAGAAAGAATGTAATATTTACATCTTATACTTCTGGAACAACTACTCATCCGTTCCACTAGAGGGAATGGATAATCATGAATGCAACGATACATGAATGACCGTTTAAATCAGGCTAGTACTGGTTAAGATATTAGGATTGGATCTTCTCTGGAGGAAGACTGACTAACATTCAGAAGACTTGAGTTATACCTGTGAGGCTAGATATGGGGTTGAAGTTGGCTTTAGAGTTTCTGCGAAGTATTAGTGTATCTACACTCTACTGTACCCCATTCATCTTATTGAATTCTCCTTCAGCTACTGTTCACACACACACACACACACACACACACACACACACACACACACACACCTAAAGAAATCCACCAAACATTTTTGATACAAAGCCAAGTATGGTAGCATATTAGACATAGACTCAGGAGGCTGAGATAGGGGAATTGTTTGAGCCCACGAATTCCAGACATGTCTGGGAAGTATAGTGAAACTGCCTAAAAACTAAAACAAAACTGTTTCCATCTAAAATGTTTAACATTTAGAATATGTACATGTGTTCTCTGTTCCGACACTTGGCAGATTTGCAGGATTAAAGCAGTATGTGGGTTTAAATAAGGGCACATTGTCCTGCTGTGATTTTAAATGTCTAGTTTTGTTTTACAAGATGTAAAGGTGTGGAAAGGGAGAGAGGCCAGGTCTCTGCCTTATTAGAATATGAAGTATATCCTGTCATTTAACATGTTTGGGTCACAATGTTATTCATGATGAGCTTCAGGAGGAAGATTTGGAAGTGACAGAATACACACATCTGACACATAGAAACAGAATATACAAACCTCTCTTCCCCAAGTGAACCCTACAGATTTCTGAAGGTTCCCTGTAGCTCAGAGACAATTGAAAATATCAGTTGTTCAGACTAATTATAATAAATAATCAACAACTTTCAGATAAATTTCCAAAAATTCACAAGTAGAAGTGTGAAAAGTACATTGGACAGAAAGTAAAGATTATTTCCAGCCAGGCATGTAAAAGTGTAGAAAAGAGAGAGATCAGGTCTCTTCCCTGTTAAAATGTAGAACATGTCTCTGTTGCTTAAGATGCTTTGGGTCACGGTTTTTGGGTCACAATCCTAGCTGCTTGGAAGGAGGAGATCAGGTGGAAATCAAGAATTGTGACTTGTGACTAGCCTGAGTAGAAAAGTTAACAGGACCCCAGTCTCAACCAATAAAAAGCTGGTTGGCATGGTGAGGCACACCTGTAGTCCCAGCTATATGGGAAGTGTAATTAGGCATATCATGATCCAGGCCAACCAGGAATAATACAAGTCCCTATTCAAAAAAATGACTAAAGCATAAAGGTTAAAGGATGTCTTAAAGGATAGAGCATCTGTTTAGCCAGCTCAAAGCCTTGAGTTCACACACCTCCAAAAAATATACTAAAACAATGCTTCTATTTGTTTTTCTCTCAAATTAAACTTTATTTGATTGATATACCTGAATATCTAAAAATCCTGAGTGCAGGCCAGGTACTGGTAGCTCATCTCTATAATCTTAGCAACTCAGGAGGCTGAGACCTGGAGGATCTCCGTTCAAAGCTAGCCCAGGCAAAAAAAAAAAATCCAAAAGACTCATCTCCAATTAACCAGAAAAAGCTAGGCTCCAGCCTAGGCATGGTTCAAGTGGTAGAGCACCAGCTGTGAGCAAATAAGCCAAGTGATAGCTTGTTACCATGAGTTCAAGTCCTTATTACTGGAGGGGGAGGGGAGGAAGCTTTGGTGTAAATTCTCTACAGAAATTCTTTCCTGTCTCTTCATTGGGAACAAGCAGAGAAGTCATTCTTAGCAGAAAAGAAAGAGTATTCCATTGTAGTCATGGTTTTTGTTGTTTTTTTTTTTTTTATAGATCCTTGAGTTGTGAAATCATTGGTAGATAGGCCTACAGTTCTATAATAAAATTCTATAATACAATTCAATTTTCATTTGAAAGTAAGGACTATTCTTATCTAGAAACCATGATCAATTATGAGTTCTTATAAACCCACCTTACCATTTCAAATATAGTCAGTGATAAATATGGGTTTGTTATCTTGTTTGTTATGCCAACAAGTAGATCATTGTGTGCTACAAAGCAGATAGTGTATTGTCTTGGATTCTGTTCTCTTCTTTGAATGGTATCTTCTGTCCTTTAGCAAAAAGCCCTGATTGTACTAGAGCATAGCAGCTCTTGTAAGTTGTTTATCTTATGTGTAATCACTTTTTGTTTTATGATAGTGTTCAAGGATGGTATGTGTCTAGTTTGGGTTAGACCACTAATTCTTTGTCTTGTAGGAAACTTTCAAAAAATTAAAAACCAATTATATTATGCCAGTCTGAAAGTCACTTACACAAAAAAACTAATGTTCACCTACTAACAGCAGAGCATTAGATTAACAGGCCACTGTGCAACTCAAAAATTAAGTACATTAATTAAGACACTATTTCCAGTTGCCAGTGGCTCACACCTATTACCTTAGCTACTCAGGAGGCTGAGATATGAAGAATGTGGTACAAAGCCAACTGGATGCAAAAATCTGTGAGACTATTAATCAGCAAAAAAAAAAAAAAAGAGTGGCTCAAGTCGTAGAGAACCAACCTTGAGTGAAAAAGCTAATGGAGAGCTCTTTGCCTCTGAATTCAAGCCCAGTATTAGCACTTAAAAAAAGACAGTATCTATAAACCTTTTCTACATCTCTCAGGATGCTTTGTAGAGATGGTGAAGGGTATTATGCTATATTATAGTCACAGACTTTCTCTCCTTGAGCATTCCAGGCCATTTCTGTTGCCTTTATATCTAACTTTTGTAAAAGTTTTGCTAGGTTTAGGGAGCCTGAATATAGCCAGGAGGTGTTAACTTACTGCTACTGTAACAAATACCTGAGATATATAAATGGAAAAAGTTACCACACATGGAGGCTCATGTCTATAATTCCAGACAATTAGGAAGCAGAGGCAGGAGGATCGTGGTTTAAGGCTAATGAAATCAAGCTAGGCCTGGGAGGTCATGCCTGAAATCCAGACACACCAAAGGCAGAAGTTAGGAGGATCAAGTGTAGGACTGACCCTAGATAAAAGAGGAATACCTTAGCTAAAAAAATAAGTAAGGTATAAAGGTCTGAGGTATGGCTTAAGAGGTAGAGCTCCTGTCTAACAAGCACAAAACCTTGAGTTCAAACTCTCATACTCCCCAAAATAAATAAATACATAAAACATCAGAAAACGTAAAGGTTAATTTTAGTTCATCATTTTCGAGGTTTCCACTCATGAAGAGGCTTGTGATGAGGTATCCCATAATGATAAGAACACAGAATTGACCAAACTTTCTTACCTCATGGCCAGAAAGCAAAAAGGGAGGGAAGAGCCTGGGGCCTCAGAATACCCTTTAAGGACACGTTCCCAATGACCTAAAAGCCTCTCAGTAGGCTCCACCTCATCAAGTCTCAGTAACTACTCCCAAATACCAACCTGGGGACCAGACTTTTAATACATAGGTCTTTGAGGGGCATTCCAGGCCCAAATTATAATGGAGGTAGTATATAATTCAACCAGTGACACCAGTTCACAGAGCTGGAATTCCAATCTTCATAGTCCAGAGCCCAAGTTTTCCATCTCTACTGTACTGGGATGAGTCATGTGAAATTGCCCTCTCTGTGGGTCATAGTTGTGTATTGGTAATATGTATGATTCAACCTGAATTATTCCCAAATGATATCATCGGACCAGTTTTAAAGTAGCATCACTCTTTGTGTGCACTTTTCAGCACTGAGGAATACAGATTACCCCAAAATAAAGCAAATAAACTATACCTGGAGAATTGTACTCTGTTAAGAAATTTATATCCTATTCTGCTGTTAAGGTAAAGACATAAACCCTCCCACAAGCCCTATAGAAAACAATGTAAGTCATTGTGTGAAGAAGCATCTATTAATCTGTCCTGGCATTTCTATTCTAGCAAGTGTGGGTGTTTTAGACTTAGTGATCAAACCAATACAGATTGTTTAAGCTTCTTACTAGTATGTTTATTAGGGCTCAGTGGTTAGACAACAGTCAAACCACCTCTCCTGCTGACTTATGCTGAAAAGGAAAATGTACCTGATTTTTACCAGTGCCATAGATTGAAAATTGAAGGTGAGGATGAGCTCAAAATAAGAGGGTATAACATAAATAAAGGCCAAGTCTAGTTGTTCTTTTATATAACTTGTAAATTTAAGTAAACTTCATCTTAAGGAAAAAAAAGTGGCCAGGCACTGGTGACTCATGCTTGTAGTCATAGTTACTCAGTAGGATGCTGAGATCTGATTATCACTGATCAAAACAAGCCAGGGCAGAAAAGTCCATGAGACTCTTTGTCTTCAATTAATGACCAGGAAACTGGAAGTGGTGTTGTGACTTTAAGTAGTGGAGTGCTAGCCTTAAGTAAAAGAGCTCAGGGACAGCCCCTGGGTCCCTAGTTCAAGCCCCACAACCAACAAAAATATTAGCACAGAGCTGGCTGCCATTGGGTCACACCTGTAATCAACCCTACCTACTCAGGAGGCTGAGTTCTTAAAAGGATGAAGGTTTGAAGCCAGCCCAGGCAGAAAAGTTCACTAGATTCATCCCCAAAATAACCAACAAACAAGCAGAGCTGGAGGTGTGGCTCAAGCAGTAGATCATCAGCCAAACAAGCAAGCAAGTTAAGTGTGAAGTCCTGAGTTCTGAATACCAGTACTTTAAAAAGTCCATAGAGTAGCTATAATAAAGCAATCTCTACATACACTAGACACTTTATTCAATATGGAAAATTGCTTCTCTAGTTATTTTTATTGAATACTAATATTAGCATGTATTTATTATTATTCAGCCTTGCTTCTCTTATTTTTATTGAAGACTTTTCTCTAAATTAATATCATATTATGTAAAACTTGAAATTTTTCTCACTGTTCCTGATTTCATTTTTCATGAGTTAACTTTACTCTGCTTTGTGATTTAATTCATCAGCTCTATGTAACTCCTATTTCTCTCTTCCAGCTTATTCCCTTTTGGTGCTGGGGGAAAACCTCACACGTGCTAGGCAAGTGCCTTCCCATGAGCTCTGTAGCCCACCCTCTGCCTGCTTGTCTGTTTTTTTATTCTATGGGTGGTGTCATCAGAATATATGATTCAGAGGAAATTTAACGAAAACCTCTATCTGGGTCTTGCTTACATGCCATGAGGTGAAGCTTAGTCATATTAGTAGGATGTGTGTGTGTGTGTGTGTGTGTGTGTGTGTGTGTGTGTGTGTACACACCAGTCCTGGACTTGAACTCAGGGTCCGGCCACTATTCCTTAGATATTTTTCTTAAGGCTGGTACTCTACCACTTGAATCACACCCAGGTCCACTTTTAGCTTTTTGGTACTTATTAATGAGTCTCATGGATTTTCCTGACCTAGCTGGTTTTGAACCTCAACCTTTAGACTCACCCGGCCATTGATAGGATTTTGCAAATTGGGACTAGCATATGCCTGCCTGGCTTTCATGGTGTCTCCTCTGTTTGTTGTAGGTGTACCAACCCCAAGCCAAGAAATTCTGCGGCATACCCTGAACACGCTGGTACGGGAGAGGAAAATCTACCCAACTCCAGATGGTTACTTCATTGTGACCCCACAGACCTATTTCATAACCCCGTCCCTCATAAGAACTAATAGTAAATGGTACCATTTGGATGAGAGGATACCTGACCGGTCTCAGTGTACCTCTCCACAACCTGGAACCATAACGCCCTCTGCCTCAGGCTGTGTCAGGGAAAGGACATTGCCCAGAAACCACTGCGACTCTTGCCACTGCTGCCGGGAAGACATGCATAGCATGCACGCCTCCACTCTGCAGAGGAAAGCCACCAAGGACTGCAAAGACCCCTACTGCCCGCCTTCGCTCTGCCAGGTGCCACCCACTGAAAAAAGCAAAAGTACTGTCAATTTTTCTTACAAGACAGAAACTCTCTCCAAACCGAAAGATAGTGAAAAGCAGTCCAAAAAATTCGGGCTCAAGTTATTCCGGCTAAGTTTTAAGAAAGATAAGACTAAACAGTTGGCCAATTTTTCCGCCCAATTCCCTCCTGAAGAATGGCCCCTGCGTGATGAAGACACGCCAACCACCATCCCTCGGGAAGTAGAGATGGAAATCATTCGGCGGATTAACCCGGACTTGACCGTGGAAAATGTCATGAGACACACTGCACTAATGAAGAAACTTGAAGAAGAAAAAGCTCACAGGAGCAAAGCAGGATCTTCGGCCCACCACAGTGGGAGGAGTAAAAAGAGTAGGACTCACCGAAAGTCCCATGGGAAGTCTCGGTCCCATAGTAAGACCCGGGTGTCTAAAGGAGACCCTTCGGATGGCTCCCATCTGGATATCCCTGGAGAAAGAGAGTATGACTTTTGTGATCCCTTAACCAGGGCCCCAAGGGAGGGCTGCTTCATCATCGAACACAAAGGAGACAACTTCATCATGCACAGCAACACAAACGTGATCGAACCCCACTTCCCCATGACACCAGAATGGGATGTGTCTGGTGAATTGGCCAAAAGGAGAACTGAAATGCCTTTTCCTGAACCTTCCAGGGGAAGCTCCCACTCAAAAGTGCACCGAAGCCACAGCCATACCCAGGACCGAAGGTCCAGGAATGAGAGATCCAACAAAGCCAAGGAGAGGTCCAGATCCATGGATAACTCCAAAGGTCCCCTGGGTGCTTCTTCTCTCGGGACTCCTGATGACCTGGCTGAAGGGTGTAGCCAAGATGACCAGACCCCCAGCCAATCCTACATCGACGACAGTACTTTAAGGCCTACCCAGACTGTTGGTCATCAAAGGGCTCACATCTCATCCACGAGCTATAAAGAAGTGTGCATTCCAGAAATAGTCAGTAGCAGCAAGGAACCTTCTAGCGCATGTAGCCTTTTGGAGCCAGGCAAACCCCCTGAGAGTTTGCCTTCCTATGGTGAACTCAACTCTTGTCCAACAAAAACAGCTACCGACGACTATTTCCAGTGTAACACCTCCAGTGAGACGGTGCTCACGGCACCCTCGCCTTTGGGGAAGAATCAGGAGGACCATGACACACTAACCTTGACAGAAGGGGTGAAAAAGCTGTCTCCATCTGAGAGGCAAGTCCCCCACTCCTCCAGGGAGCCTGCTGGGCACAAGGAAGAGTCACCCAAAGGGCCCGGTGGAGGCCCTGCTGCTTCAGGTGGAGTGGCTGAAGGAATTGCCAACGGACGCCTCATCCAACACCACAGCGCTGAGCCCAGCAGCCTAGACAAGAGAAAAGAGATATTCAGCAAGGACACCCTGTTCAAACCTCTTCATAGCACCTTGTCTGTAAACAGCTATCACAAATCCAGTCTGTCCCTCCTCAAAGCTCACCCCAAAACACCTGCTGACACACTGCCAGGCCGATGCGACAAACTGGACCCTTCCCTTGGGACGTCGGCAGCACAAGCCATGCCCACTTCCCAGCGCCAGCAAGAGTCTGGAGGGAACCAAGAAGCCTCTTTTGACTATTACAATGTCTCCGATGATGACGACTCTGAGGAAGGGGCCAACAAAAACCCAGAGGAGGAGAAAAATAGAGATGATGTGGGCACTATGCAGTGGCTCCTGGAGAGAGAAAAGGAGCGAGACTTGCAGAGGAAATTTGAGAAGAACCTTACCCTCCTCACTCCAAAAGAAACAGACAGTAGCAGCAACCAGAGAGCCACCCATTCCGCCAGGCTTGACAGCATGGACAGCAGCAGCATCACTGTAGACAGTGGATTCAACTCCCCACGGTAGGGAGAGATGTCTCTCTGCACATGCATACACCTACCAGGGCCTGGGGCTTTATGCACATAGCTTGTAGAGTTTCTGGCTTCACAGTCTGAGTTCTGTGAAGGAGGGTTAAGAGTTGTGTGAGTTGTATTGTTAACAGCTTGTTTCTGACTTCTTTTTCAGGAATTGAAAAAAAAAATGTTTCTGCAGCTGTAGAGATCACCAATCTGGACTGGTGGGTTGGCGCCTGTCCCTCAAACTTGCCTCTGCCCAGTCTAACTAAGATCACCACCTCCCAGTACTTTTTTATTTATAAACATATATTGCCGCTAGGATGCAACTTTTTTTTAGAAGAATAAGGTTAGGGGGTAAATAAATGGATGTGAAGCCAAGAGTCTTTCTACTAGGAATGTGATAGCAGATCTTAAAATCTCTTCAGAGACTCTGGAAGGTTGCTACCCTTATTATTCCTACTTTGGGTTGGCCTGCCTATTTGTTCCAACACCTTGCTCTTTTCACTCATGTCTCTGTACAGAAATGGAAGCTAGTTAGTAGCTTCTGCTCTGTGAGATCATCTCATCATTTCTGTTTCTTCTCCTGCAGAATTGGCACAGCCCATTTAGACACTGTCATTATACCCTCTTTAATTTCGCACATTTGGTACCACTGCAGAGTTGAAAATTAAGAGTGTACAGCCTGATGGCCAATGGCAAAGCATGGAATTTGTTTCAGAGTTATAGAAGCAAGCCAACTGCCTCTACATTTCCTTTTTTTCCTCCTCTTAAGTTCTTTCCTTTCTTTTAAGAACAACTTGGGTCCTAAATCTCCTCAGTTCTATTCCAGATTGGTGACTCTAAGATGCAGAAATACTATTGAGTGATAGTCCTCATCTGCCAAGATTTCCAAGCTCTTCTAATACTTATCCAGTAGGATAATGTACTTCATATATGTATGTTAATCATTAAGAATTAAAATTGATTTCCGGATACTGTGGGGACAGAACATCCCAAAGTCAGAATTGGGAATCATTCACCAGTTTGTCCCATATCAGGCTTTTTTTAATTTCTTCAAGGTCGAGTTCTTAATTATCAGTATTACTGTAATCACAAAGCCTTGTTTGAAAGTTAGCATGGGTGTGGACATTCTAATGTCCAGCCAACCTCAGAGCTGGCATTCCAGTTAAAGGGGCTGGGAGATTAGAGTTTCAGGTCACGTCTTCCCCTTCCCTAAGAGACTTCAGAGAGCTATGTCATCCAATCTGAAAACCACTGACCTCATTAGTGATTTTCCTAAGAAATTGTTTTGGGCCAGGCCCTGACGGCTCATACCTGTAATCCTAGATATTCAGGAGATTGCGATCTGAGAATCACAGTTCAAAGCCAGCAGTGGCAGACAATATGGCCACATGGTAGTTCCAATTAACCAGCAAAAAGTCAGATGGAGGTGTGGCTGAGCCAGAGCACAAGAACCTGAGTTGAAGCCACATGAATACTAGTACCAAAAAGAAAAAGATAAAAGAATTCTTTATGCTAATTTTTTAGTCACAAATCAAATTTTAAGTTATTTCCCAGCTTATTTTTCTCTGTCCTTTTCTACTTACTGTTTCGGTTCTGCTCTCTCTTTTTATTCCTCTGAAACACTAGGAGAAGATACCAGATAAGTATAATTGAAAGAGATAGCCTTTGCTTATGGGACAGATGGTTTATTTGCTGCCTGTGTCTTTAAATTCTGGTTTCCTCATTAATATAAGCTCTACTGCCTAATGCTTTTCATACAATAGTTTCAAATCCTTGACTGCCTTTTCAGCTCCTGGACTTCCACTGATAAAGAGCCCAGTACTCCAGAGATTGTTGCAAAGGAGATATTGAGAGTAGTTCCATGGGTTCTAACTCAAAATACTATTAATGCATAATATGGGAAGTTTTGTTTGCTTACGGGTCAAACAGAAATATTCATGTGATAGTTGAACCAGAATCTTCACAGAATTTATCACCTCAAATCCTGAGGGGCAGGATATAGGATTTATGACTGGAATTTATTATGAATACAAGTAAGTTTATTTTCATTTTTAAAATAATGAACTTTAAGAATGGCGTGCTTTGTCATAGTAGGAGGTAAAGTGGTAAGGAAATGGCCTCTATCTGAACCGCATACCTGTCCACTAACATGGGGAGTGGTTGTCTTTACAGCAATCTGTGGAGAATTAATACGTACAGAATTAATTTTAGGTAGTTAGGGAATCTATGGAACAATTCCTAATGTTACCTCTTTCATATTTTCCATCCTTTGGTTAGAAGCTAGATAAACTTGTTTCAACTTAGGAGTTTTAGTATGAGTAGCATTTTAGCTAAATAACATTAGCATACTGATAACCTTTTCATTGCTGTAAGCCATGAAAATCTTAAGTGGGCCATTTATTCCAGTTTTTCAGTAATTCACTAAACAACCAAAATGACAAAAAAAAAAAAGGTAATTTTTTTTCTCTACACTGGACTGGCATTCCTATCAGCCACATTTCCAACATTCTTTTTGGAACTAAAATAAGAAAAGAGAGAAAGAGTAGAAATGAGAAGTATACAAAAAGTGCATTAGGAGATCTATTTCAGAGGTTTAAAATCTTGACATAAAAAGATGGCTGTTCAGAACTTGAGACCAAAAACTGGTCGAGCAACAACAGTATGAAAACAACAGAGGCCAAAGACTGGCAGGGACATGTGGGTCTAATGTGGAAATGACCATGGGCTGCAGAAATCCAGGGCCCGGGGATACACCCAGACCCAAGGATGGCAGAGGAGTTGCTTGCTTCATTCTCCTGCCTGTGAAGTCCCCAGATCTTATTTGTATAGCTGTACTGCATTAGTGCTCCTTTCTTAAAATATTAATTCAAGAAGTATGTTTACTGTCCAAATATCCATCTCTATTAGCTTTTTCCTCAGCGTATCTAGAGTCCTCAATATGAATGTCACAAGCTGTACCCATTATTACCACAGTAATGAAAGATGTTCTTTGTGGAAAGTAGGATAATTTATTCATACTAATATATTGGCTACAGTCAAAAATGTTCAAGGACATCTTTACTACAGAGTTTCTCCCAACTTCAATGATATATTATAATTTTTGTTTCCTCTAATTGCTATACTGGCTGCAGAGAGCAGGTAACTGAATAAACATTAAACTAGATTGAAAGCAGATCCTTTGGATTTTAAGATGCATTTTCCTATAGTAAAGACATCATTGGTGATGTACAGATTCTCATCCCAACCCACAGAAACTATGTAATTCATTGTATGCTAGATGTACAACAGAAATAAGTTATTTCTTAGCTTTTAATGTACAAATTCTTCATAGATGCTTGTTTCTTCTTCATATTCACTCTGAAAGTAGGTAAATCAACATCAGAATTGTCCCCATGATAAACATGAGAAAATCAACTATGCTCTATATTCAAGAAAAGTACAGTGGTCCTGGTAGTCAATGAACATATTGCTTCTTAAACAGTTCACTCCAGGCCCCAAGGGATCAGGTTAAATTACCTGTTGGAAAGGACTGCCAAGGCATTTAGACAGGAGTCCTGTGACTTAGGGAGGGGATGAATGAGAAGGACAACTTGTTTCCATTGTAGTAGTTTGACCTGTTGATTACCTTTAGCTAGTTTCAATCAGTTACAGAGACTGTAACTTTCCTAATAGTTTATAAACTCTGCATCTATCCAATGGGGTAGATATTTTGAGAATGACTTTCGTTTCTTCACTGTCTGTGTAAATTGGTAAGTTTCTTATAGCCACTCTTAGGAGTTTGATCATGAAACTTGAATAATTTATTTACCCCTCAATCAGGCTCAGGCATTTTATTTCTGCTATTGCTCTACTACATATTTAAAATGCCAAAGGTCCTAATCTTAAAAGGAAAAAAAATGCATTCAAATATTTAAGAATTTTTACCAAGGGGAGGCAGAAATGAATGTAAACTTTGCAAATCAATGGAAAAAATATCTAAGGTCCTTAATCTGAAAATATAATTGTATGTTAGCTGAGGTGTTAAAATTTGAAACAAGTATTTAGAAGAATTTGATTCCCATCAAGGGAGCAGATTAACAAATGGTATATGCTTCAAGCCCACCAAAGTTAAAAAAAAAGAAGGAAGGAAGGAAAGAAAGACATCTTGTAATCAAAGACAAAAATGCATTCATTAAGGTGAAAATAAGTGAGTTTATTCAAAAACAGGAATGCCCATAAATTTCTGGCTTGCGATAAGATCATTAGACATTTTGAAATGTGTGATAGGTATCCATCACATCAAATTTTTAAGTAGTTTTCTTAAACACAGAAGAGGAGGGAAACCATTTCAAAGTACATTTGGGGGTTTCAAAGCTTTTATTTTTCCAGTACATTGAGGATTGTAACATGTCTCATCTAAGAACCTGGAGCCCCAGCTGGAAGAGCATATGCAAATAATCAGTGGAGATGTATATTGATATGACATGGTGAACCAACAGAGGAAATCCATTAGCTCTTCCTCCAGGGCTCAACATATAATTATTTATGTTCAAAGCAAAACAAAATCAACCCTCTTTACTCTTTTAGTACTCGGGAGAGCCTGGCTTCCAACACATCAAGCATCGTTGAAAGTAACCGCCGTCAGAATCCTGCTCTGAGCCCAGCCCATGGTGGAGCTGGCCCAGCCTTCAACTTCCGTGCAAGTACAGATCCCCCAACCAATGAAGCTGAGAAATTACAGAAACCTTCCAACTGCTTGCAAGCTTCTGTTACTAGTGTGTGATAGTCCTTCTGCCTCAGATCATCTGTCTCATTCAATACAGCAAAGTTTACGACACTGGGGCTGATGTTTACATCTTTGGAAAGACAAGCATCTCCAGTGCAGTTTGGAGGTTTACTTCAACTGTGCTGCTAAGTAGGCTAGGGCAAAAAAAAAAAAAATCTTTATTTCAGAGTATTGCTCTTTTCACATTTATGGCTCTGTAGCAACCGAATAGCAGTAGGGGTGATATGTATACTTTTGCTTCACTAATTGTAGCTGAGCACACATAGGAAAGTCTAGACACTGTAAGTGGAATATGCATTTTCAATGTCATGCAGTTGCCAGTTTCATTTTTAAATGCCACAGATACGTGTTGCTACCAGTCTGTGGTTAAATGGGGCCACAGAACTGATCCTTACCACTTCAAAAAAAAAAAAAAAAGAAAAGCCACTACAAAATACCAAGTTCAAGGTGTTCACCTTGAGGGAAATTAATGCCAAACTGACCAGAGGGACACCCCCCCCACACACACACACCAGCCCCTTTGTGTGCGAAGTCTTCTTTATGCACCAGTCATTCTTCACTGTGAGTTTCATGACACTGTTTTTACAGGCGCCCATCGAAGTGTGTCAGAAGGGGTCATGATGGAAAAACTGGGAATGTTTGGGGGATTTTGTTTTCCAGTATATCAGATGCTTGTCTTGATTTGTAACCTTCCATAATCACAAACAGGAATATAGGCCTTTGAATCCGTTGTGGGAAAAGGGAGGGAATTCCCAATTTGGCCGGGCACAGTACTAAGTGATGGAAGAGGTAATATTGTCTGTTAAAAGCGATCAGTCAAATATTGAAAGGAAGATAATTTCCTCCTTGTGATACTTATGATGATCCTATCTTACTATAATAGATACAATAATTAGTTTGTTTAAAAGCAAAATGTTCTTTGTGATACAAATGAAGAGTATGGCCTGAGGATGTTATTCTTTCTAATGGAAGGACATAAATCTATTTTATGTAGTTTTAAATAGAATGCCTAAATTAGGCTGAGGGAGATAATTTTTAGTGGTTATAGGAAAGAGCAAATTTAGGGAGAGTTGAACTTAAGGCCTTTTATTCCTGGGAAGATATCTATAGAGAAAACTTTTAAAGTACTTTTTGATTACAAATATACATGTGCCCATGAAATAACAGAATGTGCTCATTCTGCTAGTGTGGTATACCCATGATTTGTACTCCCCTAAAATTTACCAGAATAACAATTATGCATTCATGAACTATGCCAGAGTAATGTTTACAGATACTTTGTAACCAATTTCAGGAGGTGTTTAATGTAGTCATTAGCCCAAGGTATTTCAGAATGGTTTGTTCGCATTGTGCTTTGGTTTACAATGTCATGTTGAATTGGAAGAAGGCTCAGCTGCAAAGGGATTACAAAACAATTAAGCTTCAGTCTTACAGGAAAGAGACATTTCAAAGTTCCCTTTTTTTCTCTCAGAATAATGGAATACATCTGTAGGTAATGGGAAACTATTTGCAAAAGAGTTACTTCAATAGCTAGTAAATGATCTGACACAAACTTTTATTTAGTTTAGTGGCATGTGCTGTTTGGAGCCATATGCTATAAATTATACATGTATAGATACATATACATCTAAAACTCTAAAATATTTTCACCTAAGATTTTTAACAACTGGCATAAAATTTGTGAGACACTTGGGTTTCCATATCAGGCCTAATTACTTGCAATCTGTTTAAGTGAGGCAGTCATATATATATGCATATATACATATTTATATTCATATTCTTGAAACATGAATACCCCCTCATGCTTTATCAGCTATTTGGATACTACATTGGTCCAACTAGACTCCTCAAAATTGGAAATTTTCTTTTGCGTGATTATTACATTGAAACTTAAGCACATATTTTTAGTAAACTGCCACATTATTTAAAGATTTAAATCAATTGTCTTTCATTCGCATGCCTTATTTCCTCCAAGGGGTGCCTCAATTGCCCAGAAATGAATTGCTTATCTCATTGCTTAAGTATTTGAGAAGAAATGACTAATAGACTACATACTCTGTTTCCTTGGGGAGCTATATACCATACAGTTGCCAAATTTTTTTCTGTCTAAAATTCATTTTTTCCCAAAAAAACCTGCTCTGAAGTTCTTATCATACTCAGTTCATAAATAATATAACCATTAAAACAATGCATCAGCCTCTGGTTGACCCTCTGAAAGTCTCCATGGAAACAATCAATGCTGTATGAGCAGGAAAGGACATCATTACCTTTAAGAGAAGCTTTAAAATATGAATTTATCGATGTTTCACAAAGAAATAGGTTTACAGAATATATTATTCAAATGAAACGTGTATGCTAATTTGCTGGTGGAATACATGGCTTAAAAGGAAAAAAAGCAAAACTTCTGTAGACCAGCAGCAGCCATTAGCATAGAAATGATAGGCTTTAAAGATGCTCTTCCATGTAAACACATGTTCCATGTAGAAATGCTCTCATCTGAATCCAATCTGGCTTCTTCAATGGAAGAGCTGGTGGCAGGAGGCTACTCATTCACAGATGTGACATGTGGAAAGAGATGCACATGTACAAGAGAGTTACAGCAAGATAGGGAGACTCAGGACCCCCAGCTGTGGGGCCATCTCCTCGCTTTGCCAATTGTCTTCTCCTCCACTGGAACCCTATCTTTGTATTACACGACTGCTTGTCTAGTTTGAGTTTCTCCACTATAAGGTTTACAAAAATGGATCGGGTTGAATCTCTGTGAGGCATTCAACTTTAAAGGGTCAACACATCTGTCAGCATTTTGCACACTTATGTATTATTATGATACAGCATATTACTTTATGGTAATTTTTATTTTTACATATAACTACCTCCATGAATTTGATGAGATGTCAGCAGTGTGTTCAGAAGAGCAACGCTTCACACTTCAGCATTCGGCCATGGCGTTCTGTGTGTGTGTGTGTGTGTGTGTGTGTGTGTGTGTGTGTGTGTGTCAGTGACTGCCAATGTGGACTCATGAGTTTTTCACCTCTATGGTTTCCTTCCATGGCTGTCTTTGGCTCTGAGCTGTAATTCAGTCTTCTTTTCTCTTCCCCATGAAAGTGCACTTGATTTTGTCACAGATGAACGGAAGTTTAAGAATTCTTGGTCTTCCCCCATCTCCATTCCTGCTCAAAGTTCCCTCTGGCAGAGAGCCAATTGGTAAATATAATTTGACCAACTATTTGTCCCTGTAGAGACCTGATTGGATTGCTAGTATTTCAGTAACAGAAGACACACCAGAAATCTGGACTGCTCATTCTGAAGCACTTTGGGTCTCTTGGCCTTTCTTACATGCTACCCCGTGAAGCCCAGACTTCACTTTCATGAAAAGAGCTGTGCTGTGCATTTCACGACTTCTATTAAATAATTTGGATTCCATTTGATATATTTTGCACATCTCAGGGGATCTTAATGAGCATATGAAAAGGGGGTGTACCCAATAGAAAAAATAAATAGAGGAGCTGAAAGGGGACTAGCTGGATAAAAATAACAAATTCCTGCTTCTCTGATGTTGGGAAGCTCAGGTTCAGGAAGCATAAATTGAAAGTCAATCTGGAGTAACAATGATCTGAACACCAGCTGTTCTCAACTCTCTCTTTTTCATAACCCAGCCAGCATTTCAAAAATGCCAATTTAAATTCGGTTGCAGTCAGCATCAAGAGAAGAAACCTGTTGCATAGAAAAGGAAGCATGGGTCCTCTTTTAGGTCAGCACAGCTTTGCAAAATTCTACCCAGGATAAACCACTTGTTACCACAAAGTGTACTTGAAACTAAAGTTTTTAATACAAATGATAGGCGTAGTTCTCATAATACAATAGGGGTCACTTTTGGAAAAGCCTCACTATTTATAACATGGGTAGATCTGGATTTAAAAGACATTGACAACCAATAATGCTTTCAAAGCACTAGATTTGCAAACCATTAACGCAGCAGGTCATATTTGTAATCCCCATACTTGAAATGAAAACACAAAAGGAGTGACTTTTAGATTACCCCCAAACACAATGGCAGCTACCAATGACCTGTTCTCTATCTCTTTGATAGACCATCATTAGAAATCACTAAATACAATGCTATTTTTCTTATGTGTGCTAATCCAGTCAACACAAATACCACTTTGCATCTTTATCCATTCTCATTCAAAAAGTTCAGAGTATGTTGGAAACTCACACCTCAGCACACCTTACGAGAATTGAATTACAAAGTGAAAGACAAGCCAGTTCACCTCAGTGCTGTTGGAGTCCAAGGCCAATCCAGACATTTGCCCTTGTGTACAGCTTTATATTGGGTTTCTCTAATTCCCAAGATAAAACATTCCCATCTTTAGCAACATGACCGCTCCAGGCAGTGGAAGGTGTTGAAACAGAAAATTTCAAAACTTTTATCAAGTATTCTTCACCAGTAGTGCTCCATTGCACAATAGAAATTCAGTATATGATATTGAGCCCTACCTTACGGGATCTACATTTCCAAGGGAGCCGATCCAGTTAGGAACTGAATGATTCTCAACATGGATCTTATCAGTTCCCACAGGTCAGGCCTAAATCCAATCAGCAGCGTATTCTGTCCAAGCACAGTGAGCCAAATGCAAGTGGTTCTCACCCCTTCCCATCCCCCAGCACCACCTTTCCCATTGTCAAAGTCTTTGGTATCTTGCATTAGTGAGAGACTCTTCTGCATAGATCTAGAACGTGGGGAAAAATTAAAGCCATGGGAGACATTGTTTTGTGGTTGTCTTTTTTTTTTTTTTTTGCATTAGTAAACTATGGGCAGGAAGGAGATTACTGTCCATCTAAACTTTGCCAAGTAAAATAAGGATAAACTGTCACCCTATCCCTTTACAGAAGGTTTTAGAGTATTAAGGATATATTCAGTGTCTTCTCAAAAGACTTTTATTTAGGAGACATTTCATAACATACATGAAATATTTTATTGTCAAATATTCATGCAGACATTAGAATCTCCCTGACTGAGTTAATCTTTGCTCTTTTTGTTTGTTTGTTTTTGCAGCACTATCCCTAAGAGAGATTCCCCAGTGACCACTCCTCTAACACACAATCCTGTGTTTTTAGAGTTGTTCTGTGACTTACAGTTGACAATTTACAAGATTCAGAATTCTACAAAGCTCAAGGGGGCATTAAACCTTCTTACAATTGTATGTGATCTGTTATAGGGCTTTAATAGCTAATTGCTGGCTTCATATGTGAACACACATACACCATGCCGACAATGGAATACTTCCAAGTGAGACAGCCATGGGCCCGGAAGGTAGATGTTTGGCTAGCCCTGTGTGCAGCTCCCTACCTCCTAGTCCAAAGGCTGATTTTGGTACTGTTTCCTGGCTCCCGCCAAAAAGAGGTGCCAAATCTGAGACCT